TGATATGCCACCCTTATTTCCTCATAAAAACATTTCTCAAAATAATTCTAATTAGAACAGATCGCAGCCATAAACGTTCTAATGAAATGTCATCAGTTCAAAATTATCTTTATCCAAATTCCCATTCTTTTAAAAAGAATTTTAAAATACGATTTTCATAAATAATATAAAAATCCAATCAACACAGACTTGGCTGGACTTCATATCGAGTCAAGCCTTGGCCGGTTTAGCTAATCCGGTCAACATTATTCCCTCTTGTCTGATTTATCAATTCGGACAACACAAGCATTAACATAATTCAATTATGCTACTCAAGGTATTTTCAAAATATTTAACCACTCACCTTATGCAAATTTGAAAGCAAGGTTGAGTCCAACTTCAAAAATCCACTTAAGACAAGAAATCTGATCAACACTCTCTTCTAAATCGCACAACTTTCTCAAAAATGGTAAGAGTTTAAAATGGAGGCCTTACCCTCCTTTTATAACTTTCCAAAATAGGTATGGCGGCTAAACCGCCTTATTCATGCATGCATTCACATACATGCATGCATATATATATATATATATTCATATATATATATATATATACACCCACTCATGCACATACATATATGTATATTCATATATATATATACACTCATTCAGCAATTACCAAACATCCTCTTACCCAAGTCTTAAAGCATTCTATTTATTCTTGTATTTCAGGAACCTCATAAACTACTTCAATCAAACTTTAAAGGGCAAAATGCACAAAATAGCAATCTACTTTCATAAATTTCTTTATTATAGCATTGTACTTTCAGKTTTTYYTATTWCARCAATRTACTTTCAAACTATTTTTTATTAGGACAATGTACTTTGAAAAATTTACCCATTATAGCATTGGGTAACCTTTTGATTTAAATTTACCCATTATACTAGGTTTCCATGCCACCTCATTGTCCACGTAGGCTGTCCACATGTACTATAGTGATGTGACTTTCAAAATTATTTTATTATAGCATCCACTAGTTCTTATTAAACACTATATTTTTAATTTTAATATTTAGATATTTTA